CCCCCCGCTGAACAGAAGAGATTCACCGGTGGTGGACCGGTGGTACCGTCAGCAATGATCACCTCGGAGGCCGCGTGTTCGAATCCCACCACCACCGCCGGTCTTTCCCCCTTATAGGTCTTCTTTGGCAGCTCTTTGATTGGCCACTTCCCCACCCCACCCACCTCCTGAAAATTCTATCTTTGTATGCTCAAAAAAAGGAAGTAAAATGAAAATGAAAAAGATGTTCCCAGTACGGTTCGGCGATTGCACATTCAATTACAAACCACAATGCAGGAAGTTGGTTTCAAGTAAGCCGGTAGGTCGGTTTATTCGCTTTCTCTGGGAGGCTCTAAGGACTTGGTGGAAGGGAACATGAGGATGTCCATAGAAGTCGCGGGTCCCACTCCCCACGCCAACTTGTGGTATTTTGCTAGGATGCTTATCAAGCTAAAATCCAACATGCTCTCAAGTTCTGCCGCTGCTCATCCGCGGTCAAATATCCAGTGAGTTTGAGTCCGACCGCCCTTATTCCTGGCCAGTCACTGATTTAGTGGCCGTCTCCCTGTCCAGAACCAGGGGGAGGTTTCAGGCTACCTAATTAGTATTGAAACGAATAATTTGTTTAACCTGTTATGATAGTAAACAGATGGTGTACATGATCTACCTTTTGCAGAATACAGAATAAATCAAACCGGCAAATGTCTTTTATTGGATGCCATTGGGACACTTATCATAAACTTAAACAATGGGTACCAACCCCATCTGGAGCTATAAGCATTCTTAGTCGAGATCCTAGTATCGTATCTGACAGCCTCTCAATATGACATTTATATTAGACTGAACAAAGCCACTGCGTAGAAAAAGTTGCAAATTTAGGGTCGAAGGCGAAAGTATATTCAAATGACCAATGTGACCTTGAAGTGGTGCGAAGGCTTGCGCACTTCTATGACCGTGCGAGCTGTACAGGATGGCTTTTCACAGCCACAGAACCAAGCATGCCTGAAATGTTAGTTGGTAGAGACCAGAAGTTCAGTTTCACAAAGCCAGCTAGAATGGCACCTCTTGGTCTCTTCTAGCTATCCTCTCTCGACCCCAAAGAAGTCACTCTAGCAAATAAACACGGCGAGAAGCAGTGTACCGGTCAAAACACCCCGCTAGATGGACGTAGTAGNGGACGTAGTAGTGCAGTACCTGGGGCTTCCTCGTGACGGTGGGAGAAGTCTTCGCACTTCACTGGACAGCTCTCGCCCGCTCAAGCTGAACAGCCCTCAACCAATAAGAAACTGTCCCGTGCCCGTTCCGCTTGTCTCATTGGGTGCATAAGGCTAAGGGCTAATCCCGAAAAGCGGACCGTGAATCGATGCATCAGCGAACACATAGGACCGAAACCCAAATACCTTGCGTAACACGTTTTTAGAAGATCCCACTTGTATGCATCGGTCACAATCCCGCGTTGGATCTACACTCACTGCCTTGAGGATAACTTCTGAATCAAAGGTTTCTATCAGAGTTCCAGGAGAAAAACCC